GAAATTTGCCGCTGACTTATTCCAACATCTGCTTGACCAACTATCCTTCCTCTAACAAAATCTGGCAATTCGAGAGAACCTTGAGTTCTAGGCATGCTGTAGCACAAGATGATTAATGTGCGGACCATTTTCATTTATATAGTACTCTGTGAACACAAATTAGTTATCATAAATCAGTTAAATGACAAAAAATTAGGTGTCTATTTACTTGTGACCACTCTGTATATAGGGTAAAATAGAAAAAAAAACTTTATTAAACAACTGAACGTTATCAGTGAGTTACTTTGAAATAACTTTTTGAGTAAGCTTTATACGATGAAGATTTGCTGAAACATGATGGTGAGCTATTGTTAACCATAACATGAATCTAAAAATAATTAAGTAACATGATACACCAGTTATAAATTGATTAACGAGGAACTCACTTTTAGAAATTAAAGTTTGGAGACGGCTTGATCGAGTAATGAAAGAAACTCTGTTACAAGTAACAAATGTATAACGTTTCGATAAGCTTTTGTGACTACAAGTTCTACCATCTATACTACGTGTGTCTCCGTCTTATAGTTAATAACTTTTATTAATACGTATATAGTACATCGTAAGACATCACAATCTGATTAAGTTCTATAAAAAATGCACCGCAATTTTTAGATGTAAATGAAGAAATTATGGAAAAGTATGATACTGTCCCTTACATTTACATATTATTTTATTTTTGTAATAATAATAAAATACAGTCAAATATTACAGATATCTAAGAGTAATACATATTTATTTTCACTCATGTAACCAGTGTTGTAATAAACTTTTTTAGGCTAGAAAATGAATATTATTTCATTAATTTAAAAAAAAAGGGTTCAACACTGTTAACTTTCAATCACACATGAAGTTCATGCTAATGCTGTGAAATCTATGATGTTGACGTCAAAGCACAACTGTTTTAGAAAAGTTCTTTAAACTTGCAAATTAAAAATTACGTTACTAATATAACACAGCATAAGGCTTGTGAACTTTTGTGATATTATTGTGGCTCACCTTAAGAACACGGAGGTGTGAACGTTATGTTATGCTGGAATGAATGGTAGGAGCTAAATATACATAATATTAACATAAAATTTAAGGACAACAATATACAGGTTGGTACATCTAGGACATTTCATCTACTAAACTTAACTTTTAAAAATAAACAACACTAGAACGAGCCCTTATCATTTAAATATTTATATTTTCCATTTACTGCATCCACCTTCTGGCGGCAACCCATTTCAAAGGTCAACTACCCTGTAAAAAAATAAATAAAACTATCTTAGATGAAGATGACTCCTAACTTGCCAAAATGTATATGTTTTCTCTTGTCTTACCATTCTCTTTTTTAAATATGATACATCAACTCTATTAATTATCTTAACAGTCTTAAACAACTCAATCAGATTTTCGATTGGAGAAATCTCAACCTGTCCTCTCACGACAACCTTTCGGTTCCATGCATCATCGTAGTAGCCCTTCTCTAAACCCTTTCCAACAACTCAGTGTCTTTCCTAAAGTAAGGAGTCCAAGACTGAAAACAATATAGTAATTTCAGTGTATAGATGCGAGATAGCAAGACTTAAAATAAGGCAAGTTAATCAAGCAAAGGAATTGGGAGCAAAAGCGTTAGGGTTTTCTCTTTTTAAAAATAATAATGAAAAGCTAACTGCAAAAGAATCTTTTCAACTGGAATTAACAATATATTGTGTGTATATTTGCAAGTTAGAGATCATTCAAAGTTTACGTAACGCTATGGGGGATGTGAGGGTGTTTAAGCATGTGTCACATAAATTACAATTAAAGCATTTAAGGTCTACAGAAAAACCTTTATTGCATTTTAGCATACTTCGACTTGAATTCTAAACACCTATAATAACTGGAACATTTGCCAACACAGCATCGTATATGTAACATTTTTGCATAATAACTTGTTTAATCAGTTTCTGCATGTACACTAAGGTGCATACCAGAGTAAAAAAAAAAAACAACAACCACCAACAAATACTGTTTTTCATAAATGAAACATTTTACTTCTAAAAATTTTAAAGACAGTGCCTTTATCATAATTCACTAGATGGCAGCAGCTTGCATTGAAGGATGTCACCACTTACTGTTTAATTAAAATTCACCCGTTTTATTCTATGAACGGGTAAAACGGATTTTAACATGAAACAGGATATCCTTTACTTTTAAAGAACAAAACAAAACTTTGAGATGATTTGTTCTAACAGTTGTTAAAGAATTTATTTTAATGTCGAGAGAAAATCTAAAGTTTTGGCTTGTTTGTTATAATGCACAAAGCTACATAATGGACTACCTGTGCTATGTTCACTGCGAGTATCAAAACCCGATTTTTAGCGTTATAAGTCTACAGCGTTATCGCCGAGCCACCGGAAAGCCTCAAGTTTTGGATGATAAGCAATTCCAAGAGGAACCTAATTGGATTGTGTAGTTCAACTGATTAAGTTTGTTGTTGTTCGTAGCGTTGTCATCTTTTTAAACCTAGTAATAACTTTCATAATATTTGCAAAGTGATTTTTTTGTAAGTGTGAGTGTCGATATGGAAGACTCGATTACAGGTGATAATTGGTTTAATATGAGTGAAATGTCAGTTAATCAGTAAAATCACTGTGTGGATGGCCGATTTGTATGTCGATGAAGACATTAAAGAAGTTAGAATATGCAAAACGTCATGAAGACATTAATTCAATGGTTTTACAAAAAAAAGGTTTCACGTCGATGGTTTTTTTTTATTTGTTAAGTCTGTTATTTCAAAGGAGTTCTGTAATAAAAAGTTGTCTTTCACAATGTTAGAAGCAATTTTGATAACATTAATAGTACTGTGTCTGGATGTATTATTCTTGGATGAAAGTTATCTAATGGTAAAATTTGTCTGAGTTACATCAATGTATTTTTGATATTTGTGAAGATAAATAGTTCGTGTGAAATGTACAGGAAGGAGACGTTCACCTTTACGAGAATTATTATTAAGCTGTAGGTCATTTCTTCAATAAAACGTGTAGTATCTTTGATATTTGTTAGTTTTATTGTAATGCATAAAGCTGTACAATGGGACATTTGTTTTGATACCACAAGTATCAAAAATCTATTTTTAGCATTATAAGCTCTCAGACCTGTCTCTGAGGAGCATCTTCGGTGTAGTGATCAAAATAAGTTGGCAAACAACGATTTATATGCAAAATGAGGCCATATATTTATGCTGGAACATACTACACTTTTCGACAGAACATTGGTCTATCTGCTTCAGGTAAGTAGTACACGGTGTATATGTAAATAATACCTAGCTCTATATTAGTTGTCCAGTATCCAGGCTGAAATGACCAGTTTACTAATTGATGTCACTTAGGACAACGACATTCAATCATACAGGGGAACCTGAAGTCAGGTACATGCAACACAACAGAACTTAGTAGCAAGGTTCAGCTGTTGGCCTTTAACACTTTGGAAAAGTAGCTCCTTTGCAGAATGAGAAGCTGCCATTCATTCCAGACCTTCACTTTGGAAAAATGTAAAATGTCGCAAGAACAGGTTAATCATTCACCACATTTTCATTTAAAATATGGTAACATTTTTGAACCTTTTATGGATGATACATTTCACAACTGCAAATAAATTAGCAAAATGTTTCACTCAAGTGTTCGACCAATTAGGTATTTTTGAAAGAAGAAACGTATGTTTAGAAGAAAGTTCATTCACATTCTGCTTTGCTACATGATAGAACTAATGTTCTGTTATATACATTCTGCATGAGAAAATATTAAGTTTTAAAAAATATTCTGATTAAACAAACATTCACCAACACAGAGATGGAAAAAACTATTTTATTTATGTAATTTCTTCATAAAACATACATTCTCCATTTTAATGACTACCATTTGTCAGCAATAACCAAATATTACAAAAATATTGTAATTACTACTTTTTGTGGTTCCTTTACTAGTAGGAAAATTTCAACTTCAGTAAACTTACATTAGTCTGTGTTAAAACATCTCGAAATATACTTGAATACAGCCAGCTTTTAATAACCTTGTCTGAATGATAACAGTAGACTGGTCTAGGCAGCTCTAAAAGCTAACATAAACATACTTTAATGAACACATTTTTGTAGGATCTACTTTGCTTCTTATTTTTGTGATTCTTGTTTTTCTTCACTATTGTTTGGTGTTTGTTCTAGTAAGTTTGAAATAAAATTTCCTTCTGCAATTTGTTCTTCATCTGTCATTTGAATTCCAGGTAGTTTCTGGAGAAAAAATATCAATTTTTTACCTTACGTGATAAATTGGTCAATTTCAGATTACATAGATAGAGGTCTATAGTATCTGCAAAATGCAGGTTCAGGACTGTTAAGCATAAATCAATCAAGAACAGAAAAGGAGAAATAAGCACATAAGTGAACAAATGAACACAATCTTTATTCACAATGCTGTGTGTATGTTGAAATAATGTACTGGCTAGTTTCCAATCTGTATGACTACTGTCTATCTGATAAGTTCAAGGGTAGAAAAACAAGAGCTGAACAGGACCAGAAACAAAAGACAGAATAATGGAAATGCTAAACTTTTATATTCACAATGAAGTCATTAGGTTAAATATCTCAACCAACAGTCTACATACAATTGTAATCCATTCAGTATAAGTTTCTGTATCATCTGTTTGAACAAGCTACCTCCTCAGAAACTTATACAGAAACGTCTATAAAATACCTTGAGAGTTAAAGACAAAGAATACAGTATATAACCTTTACCCGTGTAAAAGGATTAGCACATGTTTATAACCATCAAACATCCAGTTAACATGAAGTAATTAACTAGATGCAGACATTGAATGGAAGTTTAAACAAAAATACCTGAATAAAGGTATATTCTATACTAGTCATGAAGGGTGAGATTAATAGCTGGTTCAGCTACAACAGTTAAAGTTAGAAATAAGCAATATTCAGTTTCTTAAAAAAACATTCATGGCAGGTTTTTTATACACTCAGCTAATCATATAAATAATAATTATCTCACTTTTAGTCTTAACTAAAAGCTTCTCCTAAACAGATATGTATATTTATTATGCACATTAAGTACAACCCACAGGGTACAAAAAATTATCAAGTATAGTAGTCTAGCAAGTCAGGATATAGTTTTGAAACCATACAGTTACCTTTAATATCTTCTCGGGACTTGGAGATATCAAGAAAACAAACATGGAACCAGCAAATACTGCAATTCCCAGATATAAAACAGATTTGAAGCCTCTTGCCAACTGATACATTACTTTTGGATTCTGAAACAATATCTGTAGACAAACCTGAGTGAAAAATTCAAAACAAGAACATTATTATTTGTTCCACTACATTCCATGTAAATTCAAAATTTACTATTAAATTTTCAACCTCTTGCACAGCTTTTTTTTTTCTTTGAGATTATTGGGGATTAAAAATTAAAAGTGCTCTAAATAGCTAATATTAGTTTATTATGAGAATGTATACTAGAGCTAATCAGGCCAAAACTATATATACACACACATATAATTTCACTTAGGCATCACTAAATTTTTTTTGAAAAGAGGTTTAGAGTTTTATTACCTTTCTATAACATTAATTTATCTATTTAAGATTACAGTTCACTAACATATTCTTATAAAGAACAAAATGTATGTATGAGGTTGTGAAGGTGTGAGAATATGTGGTTATTTTTCTATAGTTAAACATTGTTTGGACCTAATACACCAAGTTATATAAATATTTGTATTTAGTATCTACTATTGGAAAAGTGTTAATATTTCAGGTATAAAATATTTCCTGGTTGTAAGAAAAAATACACAATTATAAAATTTTGAATAAAAAGATATTATAAGTCAATGTGATGTGTGTGTGTTTATATATATATATATATATATATATATATATGAATTAGACTTTGAGATAAATCACCTTAAAAACTATGTTTTTTTAAAGTTAGTTATGTCCAACGGTCTAATTTCTGTATTTTATCACCTTTGCTTTTCTACTTTCTTGCTCGCTTTCTTAGTGATTTTATTGCAACAACATTTAAAAATTACCTATTGGCCAGCCCTTCTTATTCTGATATTTATCAAATCTACCCTTAAACTCCCTTAAATTTACTGTATCCACCACATTCAAAGGCAATCCATTCCAAAGGCCAACCACCCTTTAAGAAAAATAAAACTGTCTTCTAAAACTGCATCTAATATCTATAAATAAGAATGTAAAAAAGTAAACTTAATTAGCTATACTCGTTACCAGATTGATTTTTAGTTTCACTCCAAGTAGGAAGTTTGCTCTGATCAGAAGTTAATATTAAGTATAATACATCAAAATGTAAGATAAAAAATATGGTAAAAAGAGAAAATGTTTGTATTTAGCTAAAAAATTAATCTTTTCTAAAGTATTTGTTCTTTCTAGCTTCTGAAATACCGATAGTCTTGGAATATATATTTCCACTTAGTTTTGTAAAAAAAAAACAACTTAGGCTCAAAAAACATTAACTGTGATTGTCTGTTTTGGCAGTTGATCCTTGTTACATAAATTTTCAAAATTTATTTCCTAAAACTAACATATATATAACCAAGTAAAGTAATACCCACAAAACAAGAACAGACTGTTCTACTAAGAGCTACTTTACTAGGTGTATGCAAAATTGTAAAACAAACACTTATAACATTAGAATGCACTGATTGATCAACTGGATATACTCATTACCAGTATAGTTTAATGTAATCCTAATAATATCTTGGAAAGTTCAGGCAGCTTTTTGCTCCAAGTGCCAATATAACCAAATACTAGGAAGATTTTATTTAACCCTCAAATTACTGATTTGTTTTATGTCATTTACTACTAATGGGGTTCACATATTGCATCATCTATATAAATATAACAGTACTGTCTCTTGTCTGTCCATGTAACTACCTTGCAGGGTGTGGATGGATCTTCACCAAAATTGGTGTGGAGGTTCATCAGGTCCATACAGGGGTATATACGAATTTTCAGTTTTGTGGTTTTCAGTATTTATGGGTGTTTTTGCATTTTTTACCATTACCTCACCTATGGATAGTCACTAAATTTGGTATAGAGGTTTATTGGGTCCATGGAGAGATACATGCAAACTTGCAGTTTCATATTTTGTGTTTGGAATTTTTTACAATTACATACAAGGGAAGTATCTTTTCATGTCCTAAGATAACCTTTCTTTAATCATTCATTTACATAACTCCCGTCCAGGAAATGGGTACTTCAGCTAGTTTTGAATAATTTTATGTCTTAAAACACTCAGCTTAAAGAATTAACTGCAATAAATTGGGTGAAATCACTAAGTTTTTACATGAAATACTCAATGCTGTAGATAATGGTATTAATTGCAATATGAACAGTATCTTAGTTTACAATTTTTCTAACTCTGTTATAAGGGATTCTGTAACCAGCAAAATCCTGTACCCACAAATAATATGATGTGTAAATAGTTCACATGGACTCCATCAGTAATCCTAGGGTTAATTTTATTCATTAATGTTTAAAACAATAATGTGTGAACGTAATATGCACGAAAAAGAATATCATTAGACCATGTCAGCTATACATACCTTTTCACGAGACACACAACTAAAATCAATTCTTAGTGAAGCAGAGTTTTTAAACTTATTTAACCATATGGAAATGTATGTAACACTTTATATTTACAAAGAGATTTTCTTTTAACTTTTCTGAAAACTCTCCATAAAATAATTCACCACCACCGTTATTTTACTGCACCACAGCAAAATTACAAATACTTAATCTTCCGTGTTCTACAGCTTCTTGTACATCAAGTATCTGAAACAGGTATTTTTCACTCTCTTTATCAAACAGACAAAATTTAAGTCAGTTTTAAATCCTTTGCTTCTAGTACTTTGGAGTGTATATTGAAACAGAAACCCTAAAACATTATATATATATATATATATATATATATATGTATATGTGTGTGTGTGTGTGTGTGTGTGTGTGTCTGTATATATAAAAACGGAACTTAACTTTTCCTTCTTGTAAGTATAGTAAAGAATAAAAACTCAGTTAAATCATCATAAGCAAGTGAAGCCTATAGAATTTCGTCAAACACAGATTGCTAAATATTATAATTGTTTTCAGATACAATTAATGTTACCTCAAGAGATGATACAAAAATTGTGAAAATTTAAAAGTTTGTCTCTGATATGCTATTCTGATTCTTTCCTTTAGTTTTTTTCTTTGACTGATAATGATACACACATATACAGTATTGTGTTACTGCCTTTTATAAAATTACATTTCCAGCTTACTTTTTTAGAGCCAATGACTATTTTTCTTCAACTTGCATGCATCAGTTTTATCCAAACTACACTGTAAGATGCCCAGTAATAATGTTACATAGAAAAAAAAGGAACGTGACAAAATGTATCAGTACTAACAACTCTAAAGGTAATTGAGCCAGTAATAACATAACATCCAAAAAAACACAATTAAAATTAAGGGAACATTTGGTTCTTCAAGGCTGTCAATACTAACCCTTGAAAAATAGAGAAAAAAATTTACCTTTTATTTTTCAAAAAATCAACAATTTCTTTCTCAGACTCCTGTAAAGCACTGGCATTCGTTACTACCAATAGTACCTTTTTCCACAGGTGAATCACCCTGTTAAAAAAAAAATGAAGCCTAGCCTATCTTTTCAAAATCTTAAACTTGTACCCTACTATTTTATATCTTCAGAATACAGCATAATGAAATCAGAGGTCTTTATCCTAACAATCCCCTGAACTATCATGTAAACTTCAAAAATATTGCTTCTTATACTTTTTCAAGAGGATACAAGTTATTTTAACCTATTCCTTGTAATCAACATGTCTATAACCCTTCAATCCACATCTACATCTAGTAGCCCTCCTACAAACTTTTAAATAAGTCATTATCCTTTCTTAGACAATGAAACCAAACCTGGACATTGTATTTCAATTAAGGCTTAACTAGGGATTTGTACAAAGATAAATTACTTCTTTTTGACATGTAAGCAATATGTCTGTAAATACACTCTAAATTTCTATTAGCTAAATTACCTTCAGAGAAGGAAAACATGTTATGAAGTAAAAAATCAAAATGCAAAATTTTTGTTCTCTTTTTTTTTTGTTTTTGAGTGAATGGATGGAGAAACAGTGGCATTTTTTCCAACTTTTCATTATTAGTAGTACCATTATAATTAGAGTAATTTTCATTTTCTGAATTTACATTATGTTATCAAAATGTTAACATAAGAGGTGATTTTCACTTTAGGGCCAGTTGGGGCAATCCTCACCTTACATAAGTTTAAAAGAATAAAGCATCTACAAAACATTCAAGCAAATAAAATTGGAATTTAAATTTCCAAATATCTAACTTTAAAACATAAGAAAATTAAATAAACAAAATAGTCAATGTTCATTGTGTTTATTTATATATTATAGCTTTAAAAAGTCTTGAGCCCTTGGCCACTGTCACCCTCATTCCAGTAATACCACATAATTTTTAAGCCTAGTTTTAGTTGTGTGATCCATTGCAAACATTTATTCCAACTTTCATACCTTGAATGTATGAGCAAACTGCTGGCATACGCTTCTCCATGTGCGTGTAACTGGATGTCATTTGGGGATTGCTCTACTGTTAAACTACATTATTGCAGTTATTGATGTGCTATTATATACATGTCTTGATTGGTGCCTTTGTATAATTGACTCTTAATACGAATGAATTGAATTTTCTATTACAAATAAACATCAGCTCATTAACATTTTTATTATTGTACTTATGTTTAACTAAACTGTGATTCGTGTAATATTCACAACAAAAAAGTAACTTCAGACAATTTACAGTTTTCACAATGAAAAGATTCAATAAAATAAAAATGTCTTACTTCTGCAAATGGTGAGTTATACTGAAAGTTGATTTAAAATACCCCAACCCCAAAATAATCAAAACTTTTATTGGCCCCCAACAAAACAAAAAGTTAAGGAACCCCACTGGTTAACTTCTGTATAAATTGAATTCTAATCCTAAGAAGTTTGCAAGTAAGATTTCTCAAGTGGCTGTCCAGTAGCAGAAAAGATTAATAAAAGTATATTTACCATATAATTTATTTACTCTTTCAGCCCACAAAGAAAATAATTTCACCATGTTTTCGAGCCAATTAAATATAGAAATTTTTTTAAATTTTCTGCTTCAGTTAAATAATTTTTCGAACTTTTAACGGTGTTATATAGTTCCTATTCATGAACACTGTATTTTATATATAAGCCTTAAAAAAATATAAAAATATTTGTGGACATAAAAGACTAAAAGAATCTTAAGAAAAACCATGCCTCACATATTAATTTTTCAAGCTAAAAAGAATGATGTTGTGATGCTATAATATCACAGTGACCAAACACTCTGCAAGTTTTGCTTTGAATAAACAAAACAGACGCACTTAACAGACAAATGATAATTGTTAATATGATAGAAAGTTTACAATCTTATCAGCACAATGGCTAATCCTTCCTGATTAATAGCTTTTTTGTTTTGGCATGAATTGATAAATATGTCTATGTGCATGTACATTTTCTGGTTATGTTTTCTTTTACAAAGAAACCAAATTAATAAATTTTTGAAATGGTTGGTTACTGTGATCATTTTATCCCCAAAGTCACTATGGTTCTTCCTTAATGCCAAGGGGAGTGACCTCTTAAATTTTATTAAAATCTGCTACTTAGAACTCCAGTTATTGTGCAGAAACCAAATATCAGTTCAAAATGGTTCTTTCCCATCCCCAAGGGAAGTGACCTGTGAAGTTTAATTAAAAAGTAGGAGGAATTATTACTGCAACTACTAAACCTTTAGGTACTCGTACAGTTATATTGTGAATGTTATTACTCCATAATTAATGTCTACAATTCACTACTTTTCATCTTATATCAGTTGATTTTGTACAAGTAATAAAATTACTTCTTTTATAATCTTATATTCATTATCATCAGTAGAATTCTTTTTTTTATAATGTTATCACAGTGCATGTAATACACCTAATGACACATAATACGCAATGTAACAGAACACCATTTGACACATGGCCACCCATAATTTTCAAAACAACAACTATGCATCAAACATCTAAATATACCTTTTTATAAACATATACAAACTGAACAATCATTTAAAAGAAATAATATAAACATATCACACACTGCATTCTCAATTAAGGTATGCTACACATTCACAAATCTTAAAAAAATGCAAAAAAAACACAAGTCTCAATTCATGTTTGCACCTAGAAAATTTTTTTTTTTATAAAAATATAAATACCAGACAGCATATGCCCAAAATAACACATAAATTTTTAAGCTACAGCTAGAAAGACCTTTCCAAAAAAAAATGTTTCACAAACTTGTTTTATGTAGTAACACAATGAGTAATGCTCATGCAAGTTAAAGGATTCATTCAAAAACAATTCTATTTTTAAATTCTATACAAATAAGTTTGTGAAACTCTTTTAAACTTTGGCCAAAACAATGTTAAGATACATTATTATTATTAACACCTGGTGAATGTAAGCTACCTACATAGATCAAAACTAAAACTTAACCCAGTAATGAATATATTATCCTTACTTATACTTATAGTGAATGATGCATCACTTCATCCAATGGGTTTCTTCACTGTTAGCGATAATTTGGGTTGTAAAGCATATTCCCAATGATAAATGTAACAAAAAAAAAAAGATAAATAATTTAGTAAATATACTGTGTACTGCGTCTAACACACACAACTAATCATACTTTAATTTAGTTTAAACTATCCCCTAGGCCTATACACGGGGTCAACTGGAAGTAATAAGATAAGCCCTAAGGATTAGCCGAAATATATGAGTGATATTAAGATATGGGTCATATCAGAATGATACAAAAGAAGTAACAGTAGTGGAAAGCATGACAAAAGGATTAACAGAAACTAACGTAACTAAAACTAATGATGTAATCTTATTATTAAGTTATACGGTTTGCATTAACTAAATACGAAGAGATTTACGTACAAGTAATAAGGGGTTAAAACCAATTGCTGTTGCCATATACTGATATAGTATATACTAATAATAGTTCAACTGGTGTGGCTGACATTGATAAGCCCTACACATGCCGTATTTAGACTTGTGCGACAGCCCAATTCCAGAAACAATTCAATATGTATTTCAAAAAATACTAAAATAAATTCAACAACACTAACAATAACACAAATATAAACTTACGCAGAGAGTTGGCTACGTTTTCGCGACGAAACAAGAGGTACAAAACACTTCAACTTTAATATTATTTTTAAATATTAGTGTCACTATTACAGTATCTGACACGCGATTTTCACATAACAAATAACTTAAAATAACATTGTAAAAAAACTTGCACCAGTATTGCACTAATAGACATTTTCAAAAAACAGCACAAAACCTACACGAAGTGTCCTGTGGGAATAAAATATGGTTATTCGTCAACTGGAAACATGGGCACAATTTCCATTTTATGACAAACGAGATGGCGACGTTTGCAGAAACTATTCTCTAAGTAAAAAAGGGAAGTTGGGTATGACTTATAAGGCAATAAAGAAGTTGGAAACACTGCAGTCTATTTTTATTATAATACAATATCCTCTTGTGGTTTTGGCTACAAGCTCTGAAAATAATGACGCTTATATATTTTTAGTGAGTAATAAAAAGCATATAATTATTCTATACATTATCAGTGTACGATCTTACACGTGGAGTTAACATTTTCAATACTGAAGTAACTAGTGCACATATCCAATGAAGAGCTACGTAACTCGATGATAATGGCACCATGAGTAACCACTAGCAAAACCTAAACATTCCATGCTACCATTAATGCCGTGATGAATTAAAAATGTATTATTTTAAAGTAACATTCACTCGTTTTCAGATCCCAACATTACACTCCCTGTCTCCACTTTCTCTATGCAGTCCATAGTAGTAGTACTGATTCATATAGTGTTGAAAACATTTCTGTGGTATTAATTCTTTGCATCAAGCTGGTTTGGCATGCATAAAGAATTTTTATTAATTTTATATTTGGAGACAATTCCTTTATCAGAGCAGAGGAGGAGAAAGATCACCTACTTCATCATATGTTTAATGCTTTGAAGCTTGCAGATCTTAAATACACAAAGATTCGGCCGATAAGCTGTACAATAAGAATATAAATTATGAGGATAGTGATTCTGAATGACTGCTGAGGCACATTTGTACTTGCCTGATACTGACATGTTTTTAGGTCCATCATAGCATTTTCCAACAAAAATATAATGTCCAGATCAATATTCTTAATTGTTTTTAAAATTAGCTATGTAAGTGCTTCCCCCGATACACAATCCAAAAATCCCACAAAATCTTCCCTGATAGCATTGATATATATCAACCTAGCATAACATAAGAGTCAGCTGTTGTTTTGTTTCTAGATTCAATGGCTTCAACTGTAAGAATACGGAATGGTCCAGAGTGTTATATATCGTTGAAATTTTTTCTTTAATCCAAGACTGACAAATGTTAATGATTTCATTTTATATTGTCTTTGAATGGTATCTGGTGTTCGTCTTGGAACTCTTGGCTGTTTTAAAATGCTCCCCCAAGACTGTGTCACCAGCATAAACTCTAAAGCCTAGCAAGACAGGGAGATTTTTCAACATTGCTTGATGTATTTTCTATATATTTTATTTTTGTTATAGATTTAAGCACCTGCAAGACAATTCGTTGGCATTTTCGATTTGCGGGCCCAGACGATGCTGCATGACTAGATCATACTCTTTCAATGCTGTTATTCAGCGTCCAATAATCCTTTCCGGATTTTTAAAAATTCATCAACCATATCAGCGACGCATCTTTCACTCGAATGGCGAACCTTCTACTAGACAAGTAGTATCAATAGGATTTTACGAAGACTATAGCTACTAACAATTCTTTCTACATCGTACAATATCAGCGTTCAGGAACCGTGAGCATACATTACACCGATTACACATTAATTTTATGAACTACACAACATGATTCTTTTGAATCAACCTTAACGACTATGCTTTTTTTTTTAAGATAGAAGTTCCACGTTCTGTTTTATCTCTCTCTCTTTTTTTTTTACATTTTCACAATGGCAGTGGTAAAGAATTGGTTTCTCAGCTTAATGGCAAGAGATTATACAATTCTAAGGTGGAATTTTTGAATTCTTCCAGGGAATGAAGAACGACGGGGAAAAACTGTAGGTAAGCAGAATATCACTTTTGTTTAGACAGATGTTGGTAATACAACTGGTGTTGTACGTTTTAGTGTTACAGTATTATTTTATTCGACTGCAAATCCTTTTATTGGTTGATCCAATAAAACCCTGATTACAAATCAAATCAAATGAAATTTGTGGCAGGAATTTAGGTTTAAAAATATTCCAAGCCTCAAAAAAAAAGAAGATTTTTGAGCCTGAAAGACAACACAGGGTGGTCAGAAACTTTTGATTCTCTTCACCTCGGGCACGTGAACTTATATACCACTAGCGTAGTAATCAATGAATGCTGTTTGTCTTTAAAGTTGTAGAACCATTTTGAACTAGACTCTGTTTTAAAGTCATGGTTTCACGGAGCCTGAGGATATAGCTGTTTGATTATTTTCTTCTTAATCCTTTAAGAAACAATGCCTAAGTAGGATAGGAATAAAGTAACAGTTTTCTTTGGAACATCTAACATAACAGCAGGTAGAGTATTTAGTTTTCACTTTTGGTGTGGAATATTCTATTTAGCAACGACAACAGGAAACAGTTATTCTAAGCATTTTTTAATGCTCTTAATTTCTGCATCGTAAAAGTTTTCACTTCCTGACATTTTAAACTCTCAAGGTTTAAACCAGATTTTTTTTTAAAGATTGAAGGAGTGAAACTTTCAAAATGTAAATAAAAGCTCAGTGAACGTGGCTTGGTGATACACTTTAGTGGTAAGTAAGCTCTGGTTATCTAAGGTATGAATATCTCACAACGAGAATTTGTCATTCTGTTGATTTTAAACTGTGAATATATATATATAGCGGTATTTATCATTTGAAAACTGGTGAAATTAGTTAACCGACTCAACACTGTTAATCACCCAGAAGTGGCTTCAAAGAGAACTTCGGTTATATATATATATATAGTGGTGTGGATAAAAAAAACCGAGATATATAAACTCGATATATGTATATAATCGAAATTTTATTGAAAGCCATTTCTGGGTTTGATCCACACCCTCGATATGTAACCGAAGTCCTCTTGGAAGCCATTTCTGGTGTTCGATCCACACCCTCGATATGTAAGGGAAGTCCTCTTGGATATTGTACATTGAAATAATGTGTGATGTATTTTAAAGCAACACTAAAGAATTATTTACACTACGAAAATTTCAAAGATTCTATTTACAAATGATTTTGAATTCGACAACTGATTATCATTTCAGCCTTAGTTAGTTTATCGTAGCAGGATTTATAGCATTCAACGGGTATTGTATCTGTATTACGATAATAAAAGCTTTACAAAATGCCAGTGAAAAATATAACTTAATCACTATAATGAATTACTGTTTTAGTAAGTATAATTTCTATTAAGGTTAAGATAAGGCATAGGAACTAGTTTTTGACAACTGAAATCGTCGAACAATAAATAATTTATCAGTCGTCAGTTGTTGTTTGGGATAACTACAAAATGACTTTAAACAGATAAAACTTTGATACATTTTGTTTGTTATTAAGCAAAGAGCTACACAATGGGCTATCTGTGGTTACTGCAACTATCGAATATCGATTTCTAGATTATCATAAACTTTTAGATTTACTGGTGAGCCATCAGAGGACTTTTCAAATCCATCTTACAAAACTGAAACTGTTAGAAACTTTGTGGTGGACATAGAATAGCTTATTGTAGTTTAGAATTAATCTTACTTAAGTAACTCCTAATAGTTCTATAAAATGAAAAATGAGCCTAAATTTACAAAAGCTCAAATTTGAATTATTTTTTAATTTTTGTTGTTGTGAATAAACGACTTACTTAAAACAATTTTTCATCTTTATGAATATGTTATTTTGAGCGTCCCGGTGACTCTGTGGTAAGTCTGAAAGCTTATAGCGCCAAAAATCGGATTTAAATACCGGTGGTAGGCACAGCACAGATAGCCCATTATATAGCTTCGTGCTTAACAACAAAGAAACAATATCCTTTCGAGAGTATGATTATAATTCTGTGTTTGAAGATAATGTTAATCTTCTCGTGTAGAAACATATAGATCACCAATAAATATTAACCAAAATGTTGTTAAGATGGTAGGCTTTTATGATATCGATTGGACTTGTCTTTTAAAAAAAGCATGCTCGCCCTTTCAGCCGTGGGGGCGTTATAATGTGACGTTCAATCCCACTATTCGTTGGTAAAAAGAGTAGCCCAAGAGTTGGCGGTGGGTGGTGATGACTAGCTGCCTTCCCTCTAGTCTTACACTGCTAAATTAGGGACGGCTAGCGCAGATAGCCCTCGTGTAGCTTTGCGCGAAATTCCAAAACAAACAAACAAAAAAAGCATAAATAATAAAAAATATTAATTATTGTATCCATCTTTGTAAACAAGAACGGATGAGTGATACATCAGGTTTCACTGGTAGCCTTAGCAAAAGAGAGTTCCCAAACAGCAGGGCAGTCCGATTACACACTTGTGAAACTTGATTCCTCCGATAAAATGAAGTGTATAACTGTTATTCCAAAGAATTCAACGTCATGTGTTTTATTGCATTGTTTTTTCGAGGAATAAAATAACACACATTTTTATTTTAATTGTCTTTTTTATTTGCAGGTGCTTCTATTCCTTGTCTATTAGAAAAAAAAAATCATTTCGATTTTAAACATTTCATTGTATGATTACAGAATATACACCCGAATTTAAAGCTAACTAATGAAAAGATGCACGCTTCAAATTCTAAAGAATGGTTGTAAGTGCGCAAGAGATTTTATGTTTGAAAGTTTATAATCATATAGGCCCGGCAGGGCGCTCGACTCGCAATCTGCGGGTCGTGGGTTCGAATCGCCATCACACCAAACATGCTCGCCCTTTCAGCCGTGGGGGCGTTATAATGTGACGGTCAATCCCACTATTCGTTGGTAAAAGAGTAGCCCAAGAGTTGGTGGTGGGTGGTGATTACTAGTAGCCTTCCCTCTAGTCTTACACTGCTAAATTAGGGACGGCTAGTTTTATAATCTTATATTTTTAAAACATTTATCCACTTGAACTTACTTATATAGGTTTGTTTGTTTGTTTTGTAATTAAGCACAAAGCTACACAATGGGCTACCTGTGTTCTGCCCACCACGGGTATCGAAACCCGGATTCTAGCGTTATAAGTCCGCAGACATGCTGCTGTGCCACTGGTGAATTTTCAACTGCATAAGTATTTTTACAGGTGCACAATTTGTGATCAACTACACACTAGGAAAATCCCTGTTGTTGTTTACGAAAACAATTTGTTTGTTCAAGTTTTAATACATTACTAACTTATGTAGGTCTGTATGCTTATGCAAATGGTCTAAACAGCCAGGTAGAGACCCTTAGGGTTCAAACATAACTGTCTTTTCTTTTCAACTACTGACCACAGCGAGGACTGCCAGTCAGTATTCTTCGCCGCTAAAAGGTTTTTGTGCGCTTTTTTGAACCATCACTTATGTAAATAATGAAATAATGATAAATATAAAAGCGACAACATCTAAGGCGCGAAAGATCTTCAGTAGCGTCACGGCTCGAATCTTCTATCCTGCGATCCGCAGCCTGTCATGCTAATCATTAGGACACGCTCAGACCATTTATTTAAATTTAAACAAGATTTAGTTTTCTATCTGTATACAAATAGCAAAGTTATATTAGCAATGTTTTAAACAATAACTATGCTTGTATCTTTTCATGCGTGTTGGTTCATTTGTAATAAATATTTTACATTCAGCTCATTATTATTTGTTGTTCATTTGCCTTTTATATACAGGTCTTCGTGAATAAACTACAAAAAAAATCAATAGTGTGACCATACAAACTGAAACCCTGCATTATATAATACCGCAATGACTATTCACCAGTAACTTAAATACTGTTGTTGTTTCTGTGGCCAGAAGATGACGCTAGTTCAGAAATGTTCGGCTATGGATCAATAACTAAATGTGTTATTACCCACATTCACCACTAAGAACAAAACTTCACGGACTACCTGCAACTAATCTTATTAATCAACTAACTTTATTTATTTTGATCGTCTCTACTCTTCCTGTCTCCTTGAAACTCCTTGTCTTTGAGGTCTGACTGGTAATTTACTTCCTCCATTACGACAGTTACAATATTGTCTGTCTTACCGCCGTAAAGTATCATCAAACATCGAGCTTGAGATGAGTATGCCTAACAGCACGAGCGATGGCGAACGTGGGACAACGACAGTTGAAAGAGATGGTGAAGTGAAACTCTCCAACGAACAGAATCCCTCCAAAATTTACGAAACCAAGAGAAACAAGAAGATCATACGACTCATGACTGTGTTCGCCTACGTGTTCTCTGTTTCCTTAGCTGCAATAGTCTTGTCTCTTTACTACGTATTCCTTTGGGATCCGGCGATGGAAACTGAAACTCCAGATACTCCACAAGCCCTTGTCGCTAACAAAGAGATTGAGTTTCCCGTCCAATATGCTCAGGTGTCTCCATATCCTACCGAACTATCGAAGCAATCGGTTTCCAATGACGAACTTGCCTACTTTGAAACCAAGTCTAGGTTCGCTGAAATAAACTGGGACCCTAAGGGCAACTACACCACGCAGAAAACAGAAAAACGACTTTCCCGTAAAATGACGGACGACCGAAATTCTGTTCTGCCCGAGAACCCGGGAAGACTTTAGACAGTAAGTTTTTGCTGTAAACATTACTTTGACGTCCTGAAAAATAATAGAATATTTATACTAATAATATAACATGATGTAGTCATTGTAGTTATTACTAGTGACAAAAAAATAGTTTAATAAAATAATAATACATCTATGTTATTTAAATAAATAAATACAACTTTTTTGTTCATAGTATGTTTTCAGCTTTTCTTAAATGTTTGAGGGACAGGCTTGGCATATGGATTACATTTAGAAAAATCCAAGGCTCGAGACGCGATATTCTACTGAACACTCGCTGCACTTTCAGCTTTGGTGTCGTAATAACTGAACGTTCAATCCCGATATTCATCTACACCTTAGGGTTCCCAATCTGGCTGTTTGCCCCACAAGGCGCCCATCAGGTTGAAAATATTTAAATTATTTTCGATACACATATTAATGCGATATATTATTATTGCATTTATTTTTCTTTTTAGTTGTATACTCGTGATTTTTTCCTTGTTTTAGCAGACAAAAAGTTTCCAAATACAGAATATTGAAGTTCGCTTGCTTTGTAAAAAATCAACAACAACAAACTCAATAATCTGCAATGTGAATATAGCTTCTATTTTATTACTTCGCTTATGTTTACATCTTTTCCTTTGCTGTCCAATTCACTAGTGTAGCCAGAAAATATTTGCAGATACTTCTAAGTTAGAATTAAATGATCTCTAACATTTTAATTCAATGTTAGTTGTCATAATACGACATATACCGCCATAGCCATGCAGCCTAAACAATTTAAAGTATCAGTAACTGGTTAGCCTCTCTCTTTGGTAACAAAGCCGCAGGATGTTAAAGAGCTCCAAAAGTTTCACAGCTGGTTTATAACCGTGCGTAATTCACTGCAATTTGTTTATAGGAAGCTTTAAATTAGCTAAATAGATAGTCAAGTTTCAGAACAAAGGTACATATGACAAATAAAACTAGTGTTAGGTTGTCCTATACGTATAAAGTTACTTATCCGTAGCCGAGTTCTTTTGTAATAAATAAATAAATAAAATCATCAAATAAAAGAGGATACTGTTGATTTAATTTTAATATATATGGGAAAGAAAGTAACAAAAGTGTTGCCTTATCATTACTGACTTTACATATATATTTCTTTATTTTAGGTAATAGTCTAGACAGAATTAAAAAGATTCTGGATTTTCCGACAGACATTTTCCCGACAAGGTGTTAAATAACCAACTTTTCAACAGACATCGGTCCCAAGAAGACACATTGCAGAATTGCCAAACTTATAAACATGTCAAAACTTGTAAATACGCAAATTATCGGTAAACATTAACAAAAATGGTGACTTAGTTTTCTAATATATTAATTCTAAACGATTTTAAGTTTCATATCATATAACAGAGATGTTATAAAGATAAAAATATTTGGTTTTACTGCAGTTCTCAACTACAGAAATATGACAGATCTTAAGAAAAGTGGCCGAATGAGGCTTATTCACAGTACCTGAAACTTCTGCATCTTATAGATATATACTTAAGTTAGGCCTACTGTGTCAAGGTGTTGTGTTTATAAATTGTTAAATAATACACAACTTAAGCGCCATAGTAGTATGTCTGAGAAAACACAAGTTTATGTTCATCATTTGAAACAGTCGTTCGTAACTGATTTTTAGTTCTAGGTTGATCATAATCCTAAGTTTCCCTCTACCTTTCTTCCAACTTTTGTCTTATAAACGAACTTAGGGTTATTGCTTCAAGATTCAATTACTTTGATTAATATCCATCCTTAAGTTACTAACACAGGTGTAAGATCAAACGTTTTCATAAATGATCGACAAATAGAGGTTATGATATAGATATGCATTTTATCATATATTTATGTTTAATTTAGTTTTTCTGTAATTTGTTAGTGTTTCGTTTTAGTGCAGAGCTACTAAATATGCTATCTGCGCGCTGTCCAATGCGGGGAATCGAACCCTAGAATAATTTGTTGGACTGAATAATTCCATTAAATTAATTGATGGTGTCACTACTAGGGACTAATAACAATGTGGAAAACATCGAACTGAAAAATTTAATGGTGTGTTTCAGCTATAAACACCTCTTTTGGATTCAACTATCTTAATGATTACATTCAATGTTAGATTTACAGAACATTCCAATAACGAAACCTTCCTAAAACTTTAAGGGTTGTTCTAAAAAAAAAGTTTTCTGCCATACGAATTTGATTTACTGACATTAAAATGATATTGTAAAGCAACGTTCATTAAATATTTAAAAGAATTGTTAGTTGTTGTTTCCGAGAAAAAAAAATATTTTTGTTAAAATGAAGACGGAATTTTTTAAATCATGTTTTCAACCGAAGGTTCTATCTCATGGGAAGCAGTAGTCCTAAAACATAGCGACTCTGTTTTCTGTTCCTCCTTATAAATACATGCCATCCATGGCAGTCACTAACACAGTTTACAAATTTCTTGCAAGTTCCAAAACAACTACTTGTTTCTCCAACTAACCTTTTTCTCAAATCCCATTAGTTGAATGGGCCAACTTTGCATTAATGTTGCATGATTTCATTAAAAGTTTTTCTGACGAGATGATCGGTTAACAACAGATCACATAATACAATTTCAAGCACTTCTTCACTGATAAAAGTGAAAGATAGAACATATCATTTTTAGTGAATTTTTTGTAGTGAATAAATCAATAATGGAAAGGGTAGCCCAAAGATTAGTTGATTTAAAATAGTATACGATTTCTTTCATTTTCACTTGTTTCAGATTGATGTATGTGGTACATAGGCTGATAAAAGAACTAAAGAGTTTGGTGATGGAAATTAAGTTTTATTCACACAGAAGAGTCAAGTTAACTTTTGGAACATCCTGAAGAACATACGAGTTCAAAGAATTTCGACTAAATAACGAGCAAATAACATATCACATGATATAATTGAATTTTACTGACTACTGAGACTTTAACTAGCATATAATTTTATAGAATGTTTTCCTGAAAATATGACAGGATATGAAATAGAATACTCAATTATGTAGAATAAATTGTATTTGGTCTAGTTTGATTTATTTCAGTATTAAAGCTATTTGTAACTAAGGTGTAAATAATTGTTCTTACTATATATAGACGTGTCAATAACAATTTGTCACAACTGCATTTTGAAATTATTCTCAATTCATTATTCCATATATGAAAAACTTTTCATGTATACTGTCCAGACCAAGTTATCCATATTTAATCACACGCTGTTAAAGACAGTTTTTTAAAGATGTGGATGGTTTAACTTCTATATAATAATGCATACAAAAAATTACCTTTGTTACATAGAACATTATTTAGAGATTTTATGACAGGAGCATTAGTAGCAAAAGAAATCTGTTACAGCTGTATTTACAGGATGTGGTCAGAAATTATAATAATATATAGTTACATTATCAGTCTTCCAAAATAATATATGTGTATATGTAAAATACGAATATTAGCAATGTTAGGAATGAATTAATATCTTTAATGAAGAATTTTTCCAGCTGAAGTGTTAGTGAACATATTGAGGTTATATATCTTTGTTAAATATTACTTAATAACCATATTCAATAATGTAAGAAACTTTTATAGGGCTAATTAAGTACAGTATATACTTTTAGGCATGTGAGGTTTGGATTTTTAAGGAGCTATTATGCTGCATAATTTCATAATCTCTACAAACAATGTCACAAACTTTACTCAACTAATGGAGTGAAAGAAAACTAAAGTAGGGAATATATATGACATTCACTAGTAAGTGTTAATTTGTTTTAATTTTTTTTTAGAGATAACACAAACTAACACGTGAACAGTTTGTATTTATTAATTCACATTTCACTAATTACACTACAATATTTCAAAACCTGTAAAAAATCACTAAAACCTAAAATTATAATTATAACTAATAACAAACACATGCACTACAATGCTGAAACTATAAAAATGTTTGAAATATAGTTGCATGAGACAGAAACTGTCAGTTTTTTCAAACTAACGTTAAACCTTGTGACATGTTATGAAATATTTAGTGATTAAATCCTTGAGTAGACGTTAACCCCTTTGTACATTTGTAATAGTTTCTCTGTAGCTGAAAAACAATTGTTATTTTGTCAAGTTATCAATTTTGCATGTTTTTGCTAGCTAAGAATTTTCAACAGTATCTAGTGACAGATTTGGTATTGAGAAATTTGATTGATAAAATAATTTGTTTCATGTTATACTTTTAAAACTCCTAAATATTACAGAGTCAATAACTGTGGAGATATTTTCTACATTCCTAATTTGATTATAGTAGATATTAGCAGTTGTAAGTTTAAAAAAATAAATCTTAGAAATAAAGTTTCTCATTGAATTAAAAAAATGTAACCTTGTGCATCATTTTGAGAAAATGTAGCAAGAACACGTTGCAGTAAGTACAATTAATGATTAATGACAAACTAATCTTGGATAAAAAAATCTTTCATTTTTTGGTATCTAAAAAAAAATCTACTTAGAAATGTGTTTGATAACAAAAAAAAAGTGAAAAAAGCTACTGATATTATCTATCTTTGAAATATCAAGCTTATATTTGATTATTAAATACAGGGAACATTAACTACATGTGCTATGCGTACAGTTGTCAAGTGCAGTTATAACATCAAGTTAGATATATGTAGATTTGAAAAACAATCATCTGCAATAAAGATAATTTCATTTATATCCAAAAATGTATGGTGGCCTTCTATATAGTTAGTTGTAACTATAAAGCTTAGAATGTTTGTACATATATAAAAAAATAAATACTTGCATCACTTTGAAAAGCTTGATGGCTAAACTTTTTATTTCAATTTTGAAAAAATCTATATACAATTTAAAAAAAATTTAATGGAACCATGAAACTTATACCGAATATTAGTCAATTAATCGATTAATGTGTTCGTATCCAGCTTGAATTAGGTATGTAAAACTTGGGTTAGCGGCATAATAAGAGAGTTCTGGTTCATTAATAAGATCTTCCACTGGTGGAAGAAACTCATGAAGTTTCACACCTACAATTAAAACAAAAAAATAATAAAATTACTTCAATCGACAGTTGCACTGGAAAGAACAAATAAAAACAGTAGGAAAATAAAAAATCATTTGTTACAGAGTTTTAAATTACAGCAAACTGTTGTGCCTTAAAATAAAAAAAAAAGAAGTATCTACATTACAGTTAACAGATTTAAAGGAATTACAAACACCAATTCTTTTGTTACAAAAAAAGAAGGATAAGATCATAAACAACATTATTCTAGACTTTGTAATCTAAGTTTTAATATCATTGATCTTGAACTATAAGAATAGATAATCAAGTGCTGATGTATAATAATTTTATTATCAAAGCAAACTTACGTAATCTAAAAATTCAAGTGACAAAATGAAATATTTTACCCAATACTTTAATGTAACTTCTCCATTATATCATATACATAATAACAAAATACTATTTTTATCTGGAAAGAGGATTTTGTCAATTTTTTAACATGAACCACACCCTCAAAAGTAATAACTGTTGATGGTGTTTATTACCTACAAGTTATTTCAGTTATAATGTAATTGTTTCTACCCTTTGTATTTCAGTCAATCTTCAACTAAGAAAAGATTCTGCATAAAATATATTTGTAAAAATATCTTTATCTCACGGCTACTAGAGAATCCATATTTACTTTTTAAAACAATGTTAACAATAATATTGAAAAACAAATAAGTCTCTTTCACATAAAAATATTTTTGCAGATTTTAAAAATTTTAGATAATAGTAGGATGAATTATTAAATTATGTTTCATTATTCAAAACTGCCATTACCTTGTGTGAAAGCTAGTTCAATTGTCCTGAAGAAAATAGTATCTTTGATAGCTTCTAGTGGATTATCCGTGTCTAAATCTTCCCAACTGTAGAAAAAAGTAGCAGTTATATGTAAAATCTGAGGCTTAACAGATATAAAACTGGTCTTACTAAACCTTTTAAAACAGTAATTCCAAATCAACTGCACAAAAAAAAGTGGCAGTTATATGTAAACTCTGAGGGCTTAACAAATATAAAACTGGTCTTACTAAACCTTTTAAAACAGTAATTCCAAATCAACTGCACAAAAAAAAGTGGCAGTTATACGTAAACTCTGGGGCTTAACAGATATAAAACTTGTCTTACTAAACCTTTCAAAACAGTAATTCCAAGTCAACATATCAGACTTACTGCAGTATTTAATTTTATAATTGTAATCACGTACCTTGATTAGCGACAAATGACACATTATGAAAACTAAAATTATACAAAGTTATAAGGCAATATATAACTTGTATAACAAAGTGAAAGTGAAATAAAGAAAATGTGACAGACATATTTTACAGAAAATCAGGGCTACATTAATTCAAGGGCCTGCAGGCTCTGACCTAAGCAAGTAGGGTGTCCCTCAAAAAAATGTATTATAATACTTTTAGCAAACAGGCTTTGGCTTAACCAGAGCACATTCATGAACATCACCTAAAACTTCTCAACTTAGGTGTTATGCAACTCTTTGCCTGTACAGCCTTGAATCTTTCAAACTGCATCAAAATGTGTGGCAGGTTTCACTCTACCCAACTCTGTAATTTACTCAGCTTTTTGGTATTTAGCATGGGCCCTACCCACTTAGTAAACTACTGTAATTTTCTCTGGTTAAGTCAAAGATCACTTGTTAAAAAACATATTTGTAATAACAATAATAAAACACAATAAATGCATACTTTCTTAACTATGTAACAATGTACAATTTTGTTCTCTAACATTTATAAATATGTATAATGATGCAGGGGGGGAGGTCTTTGTCTCCACAGCCACAACAATTTTAATGCAGTCCTGATGAAAGTATTTAGGAACCTAAAGAGACTGAGATTGTGATATACAACTTGACAAAATTCTAAAACAACATAAAACACAAGTGTAGAACTGTACATTTGATAACTGATTAACTGTTGGACTATATTCATTAATCAACTACATTAAGTTAATATGTTATTCTCACATGAGAGTTGAATAGTTGAAATAATCCAAAATATTAATTATGTAAAACACTAATTTTGTGATATTAAATCGTGATTTCAATTAATCAATTTTTTACAAATATTACATCATAATTCACTATTGTTCACAATACCTTCTTCAAAATATTTAAACATTTACTAAAGATATCTAGTCAATTAATTTCTTCTTTTCAGAAAAGCTTTAATAAATACTAAAATGGCAATTTCTGTAACAAACAACTTTATAGTGAATTTACAAAAAATTTTCATAATTTAATTATCTAAATATTCCATTAATAAGGTTTCCAAATAATAAACTTCCCTCAAAGTTGTAATACCAGACGATTACTAATTTTATAACCTCCTTAAAATATTTATTTCAAGACTTAAATCTACTGCATTTAGGTTTAAAAAAACACAAGTTCAATATTTTGGTCCACATTTAATATTTGAATACAAACAAATTCTCAAAACAGTACTAGTACCACAACTAATGAGACTTCTGAAAGGAAGATTCTTACCTGTCTCGTAATATAGCCTGACTCCAGATCTGTAGTCGTAAGGCTTCTACCTCTTCATCCCCCAGAGGCTGAAATCAAGATTACAGAGATAACAAGATTAGGAACTGAGTCAATATAACAAATCCTGAAAACATCTACTACTAATAACACACCTTTCAATCAAGAATAATTTTATCACACAATATTAAGTAATCAATTCACCATACACTATTTACTCATTTATAGTTGACTGGTGTGTCAGTTCCTTTGTCATCCATCAAAGTCCTCAACATTTCTGAATCCATGAAAAATAATTTACAATAATAATGGACATTAAATCAAATACTATGTATCTCCAACAAAACTGAGACGTTTACACAGGAACAAAAAGTGTTGAAAGAAGTCGTATGTAGATAAGACGCACGTTTGTATACCATTATACTTCAAACACTAGATCATAGCCAAACATTGAGAGAGAAAAACTACAAAAATTAGAGAATAAATATAATTCTATATGGTGTATAACATTTAGGTATTAATTCATAGAACACATATAGAACATAACTAAAATATTATCAACTGAGACTGAGTAAAAACTACCTTTTTCATGAACTCCAGGAGGTCAAGAGCTTTTTTGAAGTCATACTCATTAGCTGATGTGTTATCTTCATTGATATACATCTGCAAAACCAACATGTTTTCTAACTCAGTAGCTTTAAAAGAGTAAATAAGTTGGATTCGAGTTTTTTTTTACCTAGATAAAAATTTACATTAAAGACAGAAAGAGAGAAAAAGAAACTGACATTTCTTTAGATTAGATGACCTGTTAATTACCATTTTACACTTTTTTTTTTGAAGATTATTAAGGACCAGCTTTATGAACAATACATACTTAAGTGTATGTAAATAACGAACTGTCTATTAGATTTCACAGAAGGAATTTATGAATGGTCCTTCAACAATCCAGTTGATTACAAATATACTGCTATGCACGTGTAAATATACATAAACAACTGTTGAATTCACATAATTATTTCTACACATCAATCATTTCACACACAAAAAAAAGATTTCATTATTTCAACTCAAATTTTGATAAAGCTTCAAAGTAAAATATTTCATTAAAAGTTTTGCTAACGTTTAATTAATAATCTTAACATCAACTTGTAGTATCAACTAGAAGTATTATTAAACTCATTATCTTCCACCAATTAGTTAAAAAAAAAAAAGTCTTATCACACACTTCTACCAGTACCTTATTATTATTATTATTATTATTATTATAAGACTGCAATGAATAAGTACCTCAATATGATTTTCTTAAAATATTTTCAACATGTATTGGAAACCAACACTTACTTTTATTAATTCCTCTGGAGTTAGAACTCTCATTGTGTCAGGGTCTATTCCATATGCCTATAAAACAAGAGTAATTTATTCATTGGTATCTTTAAATAAACTACCATTTTTCTTTACATCAAAACAAGTTTGTCTTAAAATTATGTATATGTAACACTAATATTCTAATACAGATTTCATAACAAATTTCACTCTGTAAAAAAAACAAGTTACAAAGTAGAAGCTTATGTAAAGAGCTTCCCAAGGTCCTCACCTCTAAGACACCACCTGGCAGAGTCTCCTGATAGAGCACCAAATCAAGTTGGCTGTTCAAATCTAAGGATAAAAAATATGGGATAATCAAGTTAATCTTCACAACAAAAATATAGTGACTTAAAAATTTTGATTCATTTTCATGGATTATGAGATTAGAAAATATTTGTGATGGATATGGTGTAGAAATAATTGTTTTTTAATTTTTCTACTTTAACTTATGGATGAAGATGTTTTGCTGACCAATGCACCACACATGGGAATGCTTGTTGCATCTGTCACTAAATAATATGTTCAAACTAGCACATTATATTTATTATTTTAATAACACAGTTCCAATCTATAATAAAAACAATGCATTAAACTCCTACCATCAACAATAGTATCCACAGTTTCACAAGGTTCATCACTGGCTAAGGCTGCAAGCTTACTCAGACTAAGGAGAGTCTATATTAAAAATAAAAAAATGTAGGTATCCGATTTTTACTTGCAAAACAATATTATGTTGTTTTAACAATGAAATATCAACCAAGAATTGTATAGAAGAAAAGACAAGGAACATAGATTTAAAAACTTAAAAACCTTGCATTAATCAAAATATAAAAAAAAAGATTCAAGAAAAAACTATTTCAGAGTCTTATATTAAACTAATGAAACATTATGAAGTTATTTTTCCTACAGTGTTCATACACTGTTGTCAAAATGTTTCTTTTTTAAATTAAGGTTTTGATGCAGAATCCTTCTGAAGTCAAATGTCACTTGACATGGATAAAAAAAATAACAGTATTAAGTCAGCAAAATCTACACGTAATTACACATTCAGGAGTGAAATATTTTTAAACGACATATTTTCTATACGTTCATTATGTGATGTTTTATCTTTCATTGAAATGTTAAAACATTACAGAAGTTTAACTATGTGGTTAGTGTATGAGTAAAAGGTAATGACAGTTATGAAAATGTTAAGTGGGGTATTGAAGATGATCTTGAAATGGACATAATGTTAAAGTTACGCAGAACTGTTAAAGCAACATTTTAAAAAAGTTTTGATATCTTTGACAAGCTAAACATGTGTAATATCTACTACACGAAAAGAGCTAGAAAACAGCAACATGATTGCAATGACCGATATTTCTGACTAAGTAAAACCAAACCAGAGCAGCCTTGTAATCTGGAATATGTCCTCCACTTAAAAATAAAAAAAAGCTTAATTTTTGAAGGATTTAAATCAATAATTAACATATGATTCTTGCCTTTTTCTTAGACAAATAGTGGGATTCTTCGGAGGATAATGTCATTAGGGTTTTCTGAGCAGAACTATAATGACCAGTAGTAACATGATGAAGCCAGCTGAGTGTGTTGTGGTCTTGGAGAAATTTTGCTAAGTCATCAGAATGACTTCCAAGCTGAGAGAACAACTTTCCTCGTTTACCTGTTAAGAAATTATATCAATTCCAAATAAATCATTTCAATATCTAGTGAAAAGAGGTTTCTCAACCAAGAACTTTATCTGGTAACCATTTCATTATATACAAAGAGAAATGTTGGTGAAAAAAAGCAGTAATTTAGAATACAAACTTCAATATATTAGTAATATTAATGTCACTTAAACTACATATAAATACCGAGGTGTGACTAATTTAAATTAAGTGCAAGATACACATACCTTTATCAAGATACCATTTAAAGGCAAAGTCTGAAAAACCCTGAAAAAAAAAAGCAAGAATTATTACACATACAAGTAATTGAATAGGAGCAAATAAATATTAAATTAAAAAACCTTTTGTGTTTATAAGAATATCAAAAAAGAAATAAGAGTGATTTTTAACTTGTTGTTCAAATTCTCATAAGAAATTAACATTATTCTAAAATATTTTTAGAGGGCATTCAAAATTTTTAAAGTACAAATTTATAAGTAATACAAATTCTTCATCAAGGCAGGAATTGTGTGTTGAAGTCATGTAAAAGATTGTGGTTGATATGAATCCCTCCCAAAATAAACTAAAATATTAAAACTTCAATAACCTGGTCAACAAATTGAAGCATGTATCGCTGAAGTCTTTCTTGGTTGTTGGTATCCTCACAAAGTTGAACAAGAATACCAAAATCACAGTATTTCTCAGCTAAAGATGCTGCTCGTTCATACTGACCCATTTTCACTGGAAATAAATAGAAAAAAATTGTATATTTACAAAATTTTAATATGTCAATATATGAAAAAAGTATTTCTGGAAAAAAAATTAGTAAAAACTATTTTTCTTTTTAACTGAAATATTACTCTAACTATTCTTCAATAATATACAAGAAAATGAAACATCTTTAGATAATTTGCCTGATGCTGGCATGTTACATTATCAAAATTCTGAAAGTTAAAATATTTCAATAAAAACATTTGTACTTACAATTCAAATAAAAACACATTAGTTCTCACACACATTTGCAAATTTTAAATTTTACAAAACCATAACGTTTTTAGTACTATAAAGGCTATAGGACAAAACAAAAAAGTAAATGGAATACAGAGAAAATATGCCATCTTAAAAAGCTTAAGGTTAATAACTTTAGGTCAAAGCAAACTACATACATAGATCAGATCTAAAAATTAACTCTATGGATAATGCAGTTAACTTAAATGGCAGTGACACATTAACAAATTTCAACAAACATGTGAATTCAGTATTGCCAGCAATACAGTTTACATTAGAAATAGAACATGAAAATAGCTTAAATTTTTTTTTATATAGTTTAATTAAAAGAGAGGAAAATGTAATGAGCAATGTTCTTTTTAGTAGTGTTAATTGGAACAATGTTAAAACTGACTAAATATTCTAATAAAAAAACATGAGCTAAATATAAATGAATCATTAGAAATATTTAAGAATTTGAAGTTAACTTTAAATAGAGATTCTGGTCTAGGGGTTGCAGAAATTTACTTTGAAGCTATTTGATATATAAAAAAATGGAACTTTGTCCTCAATACTAAAAAAAAAATTCTAAAACAAAATTGTGTATTTGTAATGTTTTTTAAAACACTGTCTCAAAGAAAAAAAATTAAAATACAAGAAATTATCAAAAAACTAAGTCAAATTATATGAAGTCTTTAAAAAAAAAACTAGATATTTATTAGTAAGTTAAGTTTCATGCAACTTGGATAGGTATTTTCTCTATATTTGTAATTACACAAGAGAAGGAAATACAATTATTATACATGTGCACTTTTGAGCTATTAATTTGTACAAGATATCTTGGTATGTACTTACACAAGGGAAGGAAATACAATTATTATACATGTACACTTTTGAGCTATTAAATTGTACAAGATATCTTGGTATGTACTTACACAAGGGAAGGATTAGCTTGTGTCTGTCCTGTGTATACTTTTGTTCCACTGTTTCATATCGTTCAGTGTGTTTATCTAGAGACTTTAATTGACACTTGTAACCATCTAGTATTACATCAGCTATATCAAGTAGTTGCTGATAGATGGCACCACGTGACTGTGTATCTTCAGCTAGCGGGACAGCATGTTCAACAGTCAGAGAGTGCTGTTGGAAGAGAATGTTATTTAATCTATTTTGAAAATGAGGTAACTCCTGGTATGAATTGAATACTTTAAAAGGGTGAATTACATAATACTAACACAAATATGTTAAAATCACTAACTTATATATGACAGGGTTTTTAAAAATTAATAAACTGTGATGGTAGTTTAATGTCTTTAAATATTTTAGGAAGAAAAATGTAATTTACATGTAATTCTCATGTTAATCAAAATGTAAAAAAAAAACTAAGGCATTTCTTCGATTATTACCAAAATATGAATTTAAGATAAATTTAACAGATCATTCATTCTTACCTGTTTCATCAGGATTACTCTCATTCCATTTCCACCACTGGTGGCCGTCCACGGGATATACTGTGCAGAAATTCCAGAGGTGTCGTAGACAGAAGCCTTGTTCACCCGATACTGACAAACTTCTTGTAGTACAGTCTGTAAAAACATACTAAAGTTGTATGATACACTGTATATCTCACTTTAATGTGTAACATTTAGTTATAGTATTCACTATAGAATTCCCTCCTGAGGATGACGCTGTAATGTCGAAACATGTAGAGTCGTCAACTTTTTGAAGGCTATAGATAGGCCTAAATAAAATGTTTTTAACTGTGTACCAGTTTAACGTTGAATATCATTTATGATTTTAAATTTAGATAACACTTTATCTTATGCATATTCTGCCTCTATAAAAGCATAACCAAGCTGTATGATACATATATTTTCATCTTATAGTTATTACATTTCATTTGTATAACCTCTAGAACGTCCTAAATATCTCTACCCTAACACTAATTATAAGGAAATCATCTATGTACGTTTTTGTTTCTAGAATGACTGCAGATTGTAGCAGATGATCACAATTATTTATTGTAACAACCTCAGTTATTTAACTGTTATCACATCTGCTTCCTTTTAATTTCATTACTTTACAATGCCCTTTAAACCTGATCTAAGTACATGATAGGCAAATAACTACAGTGGGAGAACTTAGCATAAAGAACCAATAAATTACAATCTCATGATGCAGTTAGCTCAAGCTGGTCTCGTGAAATTTTTATATTTAACTGTTTTCTTCATTTACTTCTTGTTATCTAATCTAACAAGTTTATAATTTTTACATTTTAGCTATTTTTGTTAAAAAACAGATAACAATGTGTAACATAAACAAATAATTCTAGGCTTATGCTAAAATGTACTTCCTTAGTGCTAGTTTTTTCATACCATATGTTGATCCCACACAAAACCATTAATGTTACTTTCAAATATGCATTTTAATTAGAACACAAAAAATACATCAGGCACTAGAATAGAATGTTCCATAACAACTGGCTTTCTAACTAAACTATAAATAATTTTAAAAAATCCATTAACTGCTCAGAAGAGAAAAACCCAATCACAAACAATGAAACTGAGTCTCAATATCTACTTATAACTATCAAAACAAAATAAAAGTATAAGGAATGTTGTAAAGAAAAAAAACTGCTCTTTTTATTGGTTATTAATAATCCAATATCAATTTCAGAGAGAACTACTGACATTGGAGGTGTGCATCATGTGGGCTTGACATTTGTTTTTCTTTATATCTCAGTAAAGAAAAATAATGGGATATTCTACGGTTATATTCTGGTTTGTCAATATGTATAGTATGTGTTTCTAATTTGTTGTACACTTAGAAAATCATATAAGGGTAGAAAGAAGATCTAAAATGGGAAATTTAGAGAGCAGATGCATCACTTAAGTACAGGGAAGTGAAGATTGAGAATTTTCTAATACTTCATTTTGAAATTAAGATATTAAAGCTTAAATACCATTAAAATTTAAATTTAAACAATGTTTTAATGCCAAGTTTATTGAAATACAATGATAAGGTTGTTTAATCAAATTTTGAATGTAACTCTGTATAAAATCATGATGAGTACTTTTATCCTGCAGTGCACATAGTGTTAATGTGTAACATTTAGGCTACACTTTGTTACTCCACATACTGGCTGACAGAACTTTTTCAAGCATATTCGGCCTCTGTGTCATAGCAACTGAATAGAATCTGATGTAACAATAAATTAATACTAAATAATACACTGACATTGGTGAGTACCAACCCTTCACATACAGTTGATTAGGTTAATTGTTTTGGTGGATGTTTAATTTGTGATCATACCATATTATAAATAATTATCAATCCTTTAAGCAGATCCCTTTTTTTTTTTATTTGATAATAATATTTTTATTAATATCATTGTTCACACCTCAGCCAGCCTGAACAGCTCTAGTATTGGGTGAAAACTTTATTGGTAAATGCATTGTTAAAACCCATAGAAATTGGACAATATTTTTAAACTCATTACTGTTAAGTGAAATTCTAATGTTTAGTAAGGAACCTACAGAACTGAATAATTAATTTTAAAATTAAAAAACAGCAACTTTTACAGTAGGTAAGTCCTGATTTTAATAATTACAATGTTTTGAACCACAGTATCGATGACTCAATACCATAGATCGAAACACTGTAATTATTAAGATCAGAAATTGCCTACCGTAAAAAGTTGCTGCTTTTGTAATTTTGAATTAAATAAAACTCTATTTAGATATTGATTAACTTAAATTTGCTGAAACTTACAAAATATAAGATACATACATTAATTAAACAGGAGTGTAATTTCATCAAAGTTGTCACTGTATATTATACTTGTACCATGTAAAGCCAGAATGAGTGGACATCACTAAACACCATTAGTTGTCAATATACATAGTATTTGTATTATTTGAAGCCAGACTGAGTGGACATCACTAAACACCATTAGTTGTCAATATACATAGTATTTGTATTATTTGAAGCCAGACTGAGTGGATG